TTATACCGGTGTTGAGTGGGCTAAAATGCGAAACTAATCTGCTTGTCGCGATCCGTTTCTTTCATCTATTTCTTTTACGTGTTCATATTCGTAATCACATCATATAGCAATTTAAACTTTAACCTAGCCGATGCTGTGGCAAAGTATGGCATGTGTTGTGGGCGCCACTTTAAAGGGGAGCGGGGGTGGGGGGCAAATCGACGGGTAAGACAAATGATTTTTATACTTTTAAAAGGTTTTTACTTTTAAGTGTTTATACCGGTGTTGAGTGAGCTAAAATGCGAAACTAATCTGCTTGTCGCGATCCGTTTCTTTCATCTATTTCTTTGACGTGTTCATATTCGTAATCACATCATATAGCAATGTAAACTTTAACCTAGAAACATATATTTCAGGCTTTACAATGAATCAAACACATGACAATGCAGTAGAAGAGTTTGTTGAGTCTATCGATTCTGTGAAGGATGCTATAATTAGCGAACTTCGCAATGCAAAGTTCCACACATTAACAGTAGATGATAGCACTGATATGTCACTGACAAAATGTTGATCTTATACGCAAATTTTCGGTCATATCTCGGTTATAATGTTTGCAGCAAGACAGTGTTTGTTGGAATTTTGTCTCTGTCGGCATGTGACAGTAAATCTGTGGAATCAGCAATAACAGAGTTTTATCAAGAGAATTCGTTGGACATGCAGAAAATGGTTATATTTACATCTGATGGTGCGCTGTTATGCTAGGCAAGAACAGTGGAAGTGCAGTAGTTCTTCTCGAACGTATTCCACATCTACTGAAACAACATTGCGTTGCTCATCGTGAAATTTAGGCATGTGATGATGCTTGCAAACATAAGTTTAATGGCAGACATGTAAATATTCTTTAGAACAGTGTACACATTATTCAGTTGGTCGATATTACGGAAAGCCTAGATTACCGAACTAGCTAAGGTGTTGGAATGTGATCACGTAGCCTTTAGACTATTGAATGAAATCAGATGGCTTTCACGGCACTTTTCTTTACGAGGGTTGCTGAGGAACATGCACATGTTGACTGAATACTGTGAGGACCAGATGGGCCTGCATAATGATCCAGTTCATAAGTACTGTTTGAAAAAACTAAGGGATCCATAGTTTCGAACTGCACTGATTGTCATTGATGAAGCTGTTGGTGAACTTGCTGACCATCGAGGCATACCATTTGTAAAATTAAGGATCTCTAAGCTCCGTGCCCATAGTACCTTGGTGAAAATATGCACTGGTCTGAAGAAGTTGGTGAAATGCTTGCAAATGACGAGGATATCAACATGAATTCCATCCTAAAAATCGGAGAATGTTTATGTTTGCACCCCTACTCTCGTTTCCCTGAAAGTGAGTTGAAGCAATAGCGAATCTTTGAGAGATCAGCGTTAATCGACACTTCAGATTTTAATTTTGGCCAAGAAGAACTTGTAGCACTGGTTTCTAGATATGCGGCATTCCTGTAAACGTATGATGACATTCTTCCAAAAGTTAACGATCAGTATCGCAACTTAAGGTTTGTGCTTGCAGAAGAAAATGAAATGTGGGTTGATGCAGACTTTCGACAAGATGGTTTGATTTGTAATAAATGAGGAGCAATTCGGTGACATTGCCATTCTGTTGGATATTTGTGCTACATTTCTTGCATCAAGCGCCGATTGTAAACGTGGATTCAGCCTCATGAATAATATACAATTAAAACTAGACATAGTCTGGACGAGTTACAATTATTAGTCCCCCCCCCCTTCCCCAATTTAAACATGCTGATGTGCTGTGCTATTTGACTTCAAACATTTGATAGCTTCTTATTTAGCCAATCATTATCCCTATTATTTCAACAAATTTATAAGGTCTTTGCGCAGTTGTCATCATTTTGGGGAATTATTCCTCGGCACACCTAGCATCGTCTCAGTTCCGGAGCTCTGGCTGATGATATTGCATGTCAATTAAGTCCCAAAGCAAAATAAAACATAATAAGAAAAATTATGTTTTGATCCAAACTAACATGTTATTTTTTCATTTTCATTTAAAAAAAAAAAAATTATTATATTTTTTTTTAAAGTTAAAAAGGTACAGAGACTGTCATTTTGATCATGGAAGATGGGACCAAAATCGAAAAAAGGGGGGAAGGGGCGACGGGAAAGTGAAAATGGGTAGTGCTCTAGGCAGGGGTTTGATAAATTCAAAACCAAGGGGAGCATTTTTGGTGTATTCCCAAGAAGTCAGTCTTTCTTTCAGAACATTTGATAGAGGGCGTTGACATTTCAGGAGTCGAGGGGGTAGGGCATGCCATCTATCAGCATGGAAATTAGGCATCATGGCTCTCAGTGCCATACATAACCTGAATTCATTCCAGTTATAGCACGACCCAGGGTATTCTTTTCTTCTTCTTCTTCTATATCTTAAGGGCCCACGATCAATTTATTGATCATTTTGGTCCCAGCTTACTTTTTGCGCATAATTGAATTTAATTTTGCTTCATTCTAAAATTAATCGGAGAGCAATAGCATTTAGGTGTCACTGATCCTTGTTGTACAAATAAAACATTTAAAGTTGTTACCAATAGTATTCCTAATGTTTATAAAATTTTGTAACTACTTTATTAATAAATGAATTTTAAACATCTCCATACAAAAATCTGGCCGTCACAAAAAAGCCATTACAGTAAAATAATTACCTTTCCCAAATATTCGCAACTCTTGCCAGATACAAAAAGAAAAAAAAAAATATATATATATATATATA